TTCCTCTTTGGAGAAGGAATATAGGGGAACCAAATAAGACATGGGAGGGAAATAATAATACAAAACACAACACAACAAAACAAAAGTGAAAGGTCCATGCCGGAGGCCAGAATGCAGAAGCCAACCAGGAAGCCCACCTGGGGGGCAGGAATGCGGATACCTGCCTGGAGGATTCAGGCAGTGAGCCTCCCCCCCCTCCCCTACGAATCTCTTCTCAGACAAAGAACCTCTACTTGCCCCATGAAACTCCCCCCGCCCAACAAACTTTTTCCCGCCGTACGAACTCAACTTCCCACCTGACCCCTCCTTACCCTATAAAACCCTGCTTCCCCCTAACAACGTGCGCGGCTTCACTGACCCCCACCTTGGGTGCGTGAGGTCCGCCCAGGGTGCAATAAACTTTCCCTCCCTTTGAGAAATGTAGCCTGGCTCTCCTTTTCTTACCGCGCCCAACCTTTCAAAAACCAAACACAGTTATAAACCAGAGACATCCTGCAGGGGAAGGGGGGGAGAAGGGTCAGAGGAAGGGAGGGAGGAGCACAGGGGACTGAGGTTGTTAGGGGGAAAGGATGTCCTAAAGCTGATTCCATACAGGCTTTGTGGACTCCACCCCCACCCCAGGCCAAAGCCAAAGACACTGGGAACTCCAAATCCCATCACCACCAAAGGGAAGGTGGCTGGGACCTGAGGGTGGGGTTAAGCAGCCAAGTTGGTATAAAGGCAGACACGTGGGCTTTGGGGGCCCCCCATTTTGGCTCTCCACCAGCTCGCAGTGTCTGGCCAGCTCTGAGAATGACTTTGGGTTTCCAGGTTGGCAGATCGGGTAGGACGCATTAAAGACTTTATTTCCCTATTTTCTTCCTGAGTTGTACATTTTCCTTATTTCCTTTTCCCTTGCAAATAAACCTTTTATTAACCTTTTGTGTGTGCCTGTAGTGGAGTATTAATAAGTCCCTTTTAAGCGCGCGGGTGAGGACCCACAGCCAAGAACCCGTTCAATATCGGGGCTGCCCTATAACAAGGTGATGGCGCACTGGTGCGTTTGTTATAGAGCAACCCCGATATTAAACGGGTTCCTGGCTGTGGGTCCTCACCCGCGCGCTTTAAAGGGACTTATGAATACTCTACTACACACACACGCAAAAGGGTTAATAAAAGGTTTATTTACAAGAGAAAAAGAAATAAGGAAAATGTACAACTCAGGGAGAAAATAGGGAAATAAAGTCTTTAATGCGTCCTACCCGATCCGACGACCTGGAAACCCAAAGTCACTCTCAGAGCTAGACGGACGCCGCGAGCTGGCCGAGGGCCCCAAAATGGAGAGAGCCCCCAAAGCCCACGTGTCTGCCTTTTGTATCCACCTGGCTGCTTAACCCCACCCTCAGGTCCCAGCCACCTTCCCTTTGGTGGTGATGGGATTTGGAGTTCCCAGTGTCTTTGGCTTTGACCTGGGGTGGGGGTGGAGTCCACAAAGCCTGTATGGAATTTGCTTTGGGACATCCTTTTCCCCCTAACACGTTGATGAAAGAAATTCTATGGGGACTACACCTGAGGGGAGGGGAAAGCAAACATTGTTGTAAAATATAAATAAATGATATAAAATATAAATAAATAAATGGCAGGTATCTTCTCCCAGTTGGAGACTTATCTTTTTCTTTATGGAATTTTCTGATGTTCAAATGTTTGTGATTGAGTAGAAATGACTGAACAAAAGCCACCAATTACTCATTTGTTTGTGAAGGTCAAGTTTTCATTTGCTGGGGAGTTAAGGTTGGGGTAGGGTCTCCCTGATGTTCTGGCCATGACTTCTCTGCCTTCTGAGATTGGGCTTTCCTGTCCCCCTGTCCCCACCCCATCAGTGTTCTTGGAGAGATGGGACAGAGGAGTATGAGTCAGCAGAGCATAAGCTGCTGAGGCAGCTGGGGGGCCGGAAGTGTGCTCAGCCCTTGCCACCGGCTGTGTGGGTTCCTGGGGATCTTGGAGGAGGGGGGTAGGGTAGCAGAGTAACAGGCAGGAAGTAGAGGTCAGGCTTTGACATACACCCCACTGCCAGGAACCAGCTGGCCGGGGTGATGCGAGCCACCCCCACACTTACACACCCACCCAGCGCCCCAGTTTGCATATTCACTGGTGTAAGGGCTCCCCTACCCACAGTGTCCATTATGGAGTGCCTGTGTGTATCAGGCCCTAGATGCGCAGGTCAGTAGGGGTCAGCTCTGTGTCATGGGGGAAACTAAGTCCACCTGTGCATGGGTCAAACAGCATGGAACCGAGGTCACCCAGTGTTCCAAATCCACATCCTGGGCTGGCTGGGGGTCTCTTTCTGTACCTCAGTGTTCTCATTCTAAAGGCAGGACCTTGGAAGAGAAAACAGCTGGGAAATTTCCACTTTCTGACTCTGCATTTCAACTTTTGTTTCTCTTTATCTCTGTTGCTGTTAGGCTCCCCTCCCCCCCAACACCAGTGTGGGGTGGGGTGACTGCCTGAGCCTGCCCTCCCCCCTTCTGGGGACATGTCTGGGCAGGTCTGAGGCAATCTGAAGAAACTGCTGATGGCCTGCAGGCAAGATGCCAGCACAGGAAGGCGCGGGTAGGAGAGTGAAAAGGGTGTGGGGGAAGGACTCTGGGATTTCCCAGCATTTCCGGTGTCCTATATTGACCCCCCCCCACGCTTATCCAGTCTTGTCACACTCAGTATGTTCCAACATGATCTCAACATCTTCCCCCCATATCTTGGGTTTCCAGGGCTGCATAGGAGTTCTCCAGTCAGGAGTGGGAGAGGCAGAGTGTCTTCTAGGCAGAGGAAACAGCCTGGGGTTAGCAAAGAGACAGCAACAGGAGTGCAAATGCTCAGCAGGGGACTCTGGCTTTCTCCTGTGAATGGACACTGTGGGAGGTGGGGAAGAGCCCAATCAGATGACCATAATGGGGTGCATTGGTATCTCATGCCCCCCATCTCCGAGGAAGACTGAAAATACACAGGCGAGAGCAGATGGAAACACTGTCCAATGCCGCCAAGTCTTACCCTCCATTAAGGTTTCCCGTATCTACTGTGGATGGTTCAGCTGTCTGTGTGCCCTCGTCACAGCTGGAGCCCTGCACCATATCGCAGCCTGGGCACCTCTGGGTCCGTGGTGTGTCCCCAGCTCAGATAGCAGAGCACAGCAGGCACTTAAGCAGCACCTAGTGCTGCCGCTCGCTAGGACAGGGTCAGGTTTCAGGAACCAGCCAGCAGGCACTGGAGGAGGACCCTGACTCACCAGGTTTGGGCTCCTATACCCTCTCTGCGCCCCCTGCTGGCGCTAGGCGGAACACACAGTACTCACCTGCTCTGTCCACCTGTACTTCGTTGTGCATTTATTATGTGCCACTCACTGTTCTAGGCGCAGAAAACACAAGGAACTTCAGACCCGCCTGCTCTCTTGGGCTCCCACGGAGCCAGCTGGTTACAACCCAGTGTCTGCAATGGGGGGCCACCCAATGGAGGGAGGTGCCTGGGTGCCTCCTGGAAGAGGAGGTAATATTTGTGTATCAGTCAACCACTCTGCATCAGACACCCAGATAAGGGCTGTAAAAGCAGAATCTCATTTAATTCTCACAAAAGCCCTGAGAGTATATAGAAACAGGCTCCAGGAATGAAAGAGAGTTCAGTTTGCTCCCCTACTTCTCACAGCTCTTAGAATAATACCCGCACCAGGGCCTCCCTGGTGGTTCAGGGATTAAAGTCTCAGCGCTATCAAGCTATCTCCAGCCACTGCAGCATAAGTTCAGCCCCCAGCAGCGAGCTACCCGCATGGTGCAGCAGACCTCTCCTGTCTCCCCGGCTGCTCCCTCAACAGTGTATTTCAGTACATCCGCCTGTTCTGCTCCCTACTCTGTCTCTGGTGAATCCTCTCACCCCCCCACACCTCTGGCCTAGACCCCAGTTTTTGTATGCATAATAAAAATCTTAAAAAAAAAAAAAAAAACACAACTACCCACACCCCTCCCAGGGGCCGCCTATGTGGGAGCGTCACCTCTACCACACTCCTGCTGCCCCACCCCACCTCCAACATGATAACCCACTCCCTTTCACACCAGCCCTGGCCTCCTAGTCAGCAACTTACAAGGTACCATTGGGGTGAGAGGGCTTTTCCCTTGGCAGAGTAACCAAGGGGAAAAAAGGGTTTCCATTGGGCAAAGGAGGCAGAGGGAGGCTTCCAGGATGGAAAAGGATTCTCTATGTACAGAGGACATACAGAACCCTGTGGCCCCACCCAGGGCCACGGGAGCATCTTTATGATATAACAGGAATTGTGGTTCAAACCTTGGGGCCCAGAAAGAGCCAGCTTTAAGAGCAGAACCACTCAGCCATGGACATCGCCTCTGGGGGTGCAGAGACTCTGACTCCTCAGCACTTCAAAGGCATGCCCCCCTCCCCTGGTACCCACTGTCCTGGAAACAAGATATTTTCCTGATTGCTTTGTTTTCAAAGGCTTATTCTTTGAAAGACACTGCCAACTCTGGCATGTCCTCATTCCAGCGGTGGCAGACATGGGGGGAATGACTTCGTCCTATTTCCAGTCTTCAAATTGCTCCACTCCAGAGCAGCCAGCCTGGCTCACAGACTTGCTTTCCTGGCTAAGATCCGTGGGACCAGGGCCTTCAACGGGCAGAGACTCAGTTTCCCTTTCTGTAAGAGTTGGTAATGGCACCTCCTTGCAGGATTTTGTGTGAGTTTTCACACACTGGAGGTATGCATGAACATGATTCAAATCCCAGTGCCATCCCCAGCCCCTGTGTGAACACAGGCAAGTTATTCAACCTCTCTGTGCATCAGACAAAGGAAGTGGATTCAGTCAAGAATCTTTTCATCATTATTCATTCAGCAAACTCATAGCAGCTGCCACAAATCAAGAATCAGGTCAAGCAACAAGGATAGAAATTCTGTGATTGCGGCCCCCTCTGTTGACAACCCTGGTAAATGACAACTTCTCACAAAGACACATAAGAAATCACACATTTCAACTGTTTTATTTGCTTTCTGGGGTGTCACGTTTGGGGTCTCCCCGAGCTCAACCCCCAGCAAAGTCCAGCAGACCCTTCCCTGGCCTGGGGTTCCAGACATAGGGGTTTTAGACAAGGCACTCAAAGGAACTGTGGGGGAAGGAAGCCACCCCTAGGCCAGAGGGGCTAGACCCCCCCCCTTTGGGGACAGAGAACATGATCACCTTCTGCAGGAAGGGAATTCTCCTAGAGAGAGATTTAGGACAAGACAGGAGCCTGAGATATTTTGGGTGTCCCAGAAATATCAGGTAACCCCCGGGCAGGCTGGAAGTCAATTTTACTTCCAGAGATCCAAATGGGCTCTGCATGGCATCCAGCCGAGGCCCAGACACCAGTGGTCATGGTATCCAAGAGCTGGATTCCAAACCAGCTGTCTGGGATTTCCTGGAAGATACAAGTGCAGTCGATGCAGGCCCCACCCCTGGGAAGGGCTTGGATGACTCTGGCCTGAGGGCCAGGAACCAGGGCCACCTCCAAGACTTCAGTAGTTTTGCTTTTCTGTCCTGTCTCCTTTTGTGCCCCATGCATGTGGGAAAGGCAGGCACTTCTGGGGGTCTCTGCACAAGGCTTGGGTGCAGAGAGAGAGAAGAACACATGGATATGTTGGGTTGGGGGAGAGGTTTGGGGTTGGGCCATGCCTCCCAGAAGTCTGGGAGCCCTTGACACTCAGCTGTGACAACTGAACCAGAGGACAGGTCTCTCAACAGGTATGTTCAGCATCCAAAGGTAATTCAATAATTATCTCTGAAAATGTGGATCTCGGCAAATGCCTCCCACCCCCCAAATAGCTGTTCTGCTGTGGGTTTAAAGGAGGACCATGACCTTTCTGTGTTTCCTCAAAGCACAAATAGAGATGTTTTCCCTCCTAGCTGGGCTGCCTGGCCCTTAGGCACTTGTTCTAGAGAAAGGAAATTTAATCTGGGTTATAAAAACAAAGCCCTTTTCAGCATCCCTAAGTTTGTGGAGGCTGTGGGATTGGTGACCTGGCAGTAAGGCAGCCTGCCCCTGCCCGTATGGCTGCCACCAGTGCCCCATGCTGGCTGCAGACTCGGGTCTTTGAGGCGAGGTTGGGGCCATGGAGAAGAATGGGGCTTTGTCCCACTATCCCGGAAGGGACTTCTGGGTTCAGACACTCAGAGGGGCGGAGAGGTCAAAGGTCAACAGTCTAGACAGTGGCAGCAAAAAAGAGGCTGGTGTGGTGGATGGATTTCCATGAAAGCGCCCCTCCTCTGCCACAGTCACCCCTGGGGGGTACAGGCATACCCATGTATATACATACACACACACATGCGCGCATGAGCGCACACACACATGCCAGCTGGCTGGCTTCCTGGCAGAAACTTCTAAGATAATAAAAAGGCATCTCAAATCTACTTTTCCAGCCATTCCTCTGAGCAGGCCCTTTCTATTCCAGAAGTTTCCATGGTAGCAAAGGGGGAGCAGGCAAGGATTCTCTTTGAGCTAAAACTATTGCAATTGGACATTTCTCCAATGGGGGACAGAATCTACCATCATCTTCAGCAAGAAGGGGTCCTTCCTAGAAAGAGATTTAGAATAAGACAGACACCTCAGATGTTGGGAGAGCCCAGAGACATAGCTGACAGGCAGAAAGCCAACTCCATTTCCCAAAATCCAGACCTGATGCCAACTGGGAAGCCATGATTTCTACCCCCACCCCGTCTATGCCAGCAGCCAGGGGTCCTCGGCTGTTTCCACTACTGATAGCACCAAGTAGGCGAGACAGCACCAAACCCAGTCCGCTACCTCGAGTCCCACCTTTCTTTCTATCCACTCCATCTTATTTATCTTGCAAGCTACATACTCAAGCACAAACCACTGACCTTCTTTTAAGTGGGGAGGGGAGGCCAGGGGACTGAGATAAGAGTAGCTGTGTAAGGCTCAGAGTCTGGCACGTTAGTGATGCCATCACCAGATCACTGTCTCTGTCCCCTTCCCATCCCCTCCTCAGCTCCCCTCGGGGGTTCACCAAAAGGAGAGACCCTCTCAATTTTCCTATCAAAACCTACCCCACACCCCTCATTGCTTCTCACCTTCCCCCCACCAACCTCCCACAACATCTGAAGGATGTCGTCCTTCCACTGAACACTTGCTGTCTCCACCTCCTCAGCACAGCTGTCCACACCTGCCCAGCCCCACCCACGCACAAGAACAGCGGCTCGGGCCTGTGGTGTCCCTTAGTCTGACACTGAAAATGACTGGGGAAGGGGAATGGAACTCAGCCTTCCCTTCTCACTCAGGACATCTTAGGCTGAGCCCCAATACATGCAGACAGACACACCATTGAGTGGATGAGCTCAACCAAAAGAAAAAGCAAAAAAAAAAAAAAATAAATAAGTAAATATAATAAAATAAAGTAAAACAGGGAAAAGGAAAAGCTGGCAAGGAGTGAGTGAAATGTTTAATGATTGCCTGATGAAATCAAAATGAGCTAAATGCTCTTCATCCAGGATGAGGACTGGACTCTGACTTGATGGATGAGGAAATCAGAAACTGTAGCAGGAACACAAAAATGACACATACATTTAATGATGATTGGACAATAAGTTATATCTCTAAGTTGCTAAAAAACAAAAACGAACCAAAAAAAAAAAAACCATGTTGCTTTAAACAGAGAGGCAAAAGGAAGACAAGGGAAGATGAAAACGTGGACTTTGGGGAATGCATCTGGATTCTGGTAAGTGCTCAGTGCTCCCCCCTCTCCATCTTGCTCAGACCTGTTTCCTCCTGCAAGCACTGGGGATCAGAGCTTGGGGAGCAGGGCTAGGGAGAGCTTCATGCTGTTCTGTGTAAGACCTGAGGGGGGCCTCAGGCTTTAGCTCTTCACTGTCAAAAGAATCACCACTTCTGCTTACAGACGCTGGGAGGGTGGAGTGACATCCACACCCCAGGTCCTCAGAAGGCAAGCTTGCATGAAGGACTCGAAGGGGGCATTTCTGGTAGGAGGGGTGCTAGCAAGAAGCTGAAAGCAGAGTCCAGACAACTCCAACCCACTGGCCATTTCACTCCTCACTTTCCCTCTCCAGGGAAAGCCAGAAAATGCACTGAACAGAAACCTTCAAGCCAGTTCCCAAATGACACAGCTCAGCAGAGGTGGGAACCACCTTGGTCATCAGCACAGAAGGGAAAGACGGTAAATGCTTAAGAAAACAAAACATAAATCTGTTTTGAAAAGAACTAAGCCCCAGGAAGCACCAATGTGAACCCACACGGCGCCAGACTCTAGCACATTTCACACGTAGGGGAACGATAAAACCATGTGTTCTCCAAAAAAATAGAAAAATACTTCCAAAATGGTTTTTTTTCACTTGGCTTTGTGGTTACTGGGCCACACTCCCTCTCTATGAGTGTCAAGGTCCAGTTGAAGTCAGTCCTTCCGGGGGATATCATCCTGTCCTGTGCTGTAAGTTCAAAGTCGCCACGGAGTGAGACAGCAATTTATTCCTGAGTCCTGGGCAAGTGTCCAAAAACCATCCACACAAAAGCCCACTGGCTGACCAGCTGCCCTGCTGCTCAAACACGCTGGCACACACAGAGCTCAGCAAACTTTGGCTCCCAAGTCCTGTGTGGGGCTCCCCTTAAGGAGAGTAAGAATTGGGACCCTGGCAGAGACTGAGGAAATCCGGGCCAGATGTTGGGTAGGTTTGCAGCTGCTACAGATTTTTACATATTAAGAAAACAGTCTTGTGCATGTCAAAGTGACCCTCCCCCTCTACCTCCTTTGGAGGCCCCAGTGGGTTTAACTCCCAGCTCTGCTAGGTTGTTGAAAGGGGTAGCCAGCCAAGTGCTCTGGGGCTGCACGTGACACCCTGCCCCTGCAGTTGTCCTGCCCCCACCTCTAGCCTGGTCGTGGACTCTGCCTCCCTCTGAGCAAGGGGATATTCCTTCAGTTCCAAAGATACAGGCCCAGCTCTCAGGGCAGAGGGCAAAAGGGGCCACACCCCAGGAAAAGGAAAAGACACTTTTGCGGCTGGCTAAAGCCCACATTTTAACCAAAGGGAATATAAATTACTCTGTGCCCAAACAGAGTAATTTGGGCAAAGTTTTTAAAAAAGAGAACAAGAAAAAACAACCCGCGCCATATCCCAAGGCATTCCTTTCTGGGGCTCTCAGGCTGGTTAGGAGACAGATCAGGGCAAGGACTCTGTGAGGCTTTTCGGCTTGGGTAAAACCAGTCAGGAACTGGGGGAACTCCGGGACCCCTCAGCTAAGATCTAGAAAAGCGCATGAGCAAGCGGCCCAGCCGTGGGGTGGCCCAGCAGAGAGCCACCTGACGAGGGTTCTCTGCAGAAACAGGGCCCTGTGGCTGATGCTGTCACGGCTGTGTCCCCAGATACAAAGGGAAATTGAGGAAAAACCTCTTCGGTGGCCTCCTTCACGCTGACCAGTGCTTTTTCAGAGAAAAAGAGAGAACAAAGAATATCTGATCCATATCAGCTCCTCTGTCGACGGTCTTAGCTTCCCGGCCAGGTCCCAGAGGGCAGGTGGATATCCCTTCTGGGGTCCCTGGGCGGACAGTGTCTTGGCAGGCCTGACAGGCCTTCAGTGTTTGTGATGACAGTTGATTTTGCCTTCTGACTGCTCCAGCAAATCCAGCATCTCCTCGATGATGGCCTGCAGTGCCCGGCCCAGCTGGTCTGCGTTGTAGGGCTTGCCCAGCGGTGGCACATGGACAAAGGCTGAGCGGCCGTGACTCTGGTACAGGGAAGTGTAGTAGGTGAAGTCACACAGGTACCTAAGCCACAGGGTGTGGGGGTGGGAGGGAGACCAAAATGGAATGAGAGTCAGTGCCCAGACTAACCAGACAACCGCTGTCCAATGCGCCGAAAGACCGACCCCACACAGCTCTCCTGCCTGCCTGACTGCAGGTGCCTTTTTCTTTCTCCTTTTCCTAATTAACCTGTCCTTTTAAAATGAAAAAAAAAAGAAAGAAAAAAACAACAAAAAACACCAACCCCAACCTCACCAGAAATCTGAGAGAAATAGCTTCTCCTCCCTCCCTGGATTTGCAAAATTGAAACAACCTTCTAACTCCAAGTGCTAGAGTTAGAAGTGTAGGAGTGTGGGGCTTCCCCTGGTGGTGCAGCGGTTGAGCACTGGGTTGCGAAGCTGCCCGTAGCCTCTGCAGCACCGGTTCAATCCCCAGCCACTGGGCAAGGGTCCCACATGGCGCGCAGACCTCTCCTGCCGCCCGCTGCTCCCCTTAGCAGTGTACTTCGTCAGTCTGCCTGTTCTGCTCTCCCCTCTGGTTCTGGTGAATTCTCTCACCCTCCCGCGCTTCTGACTGTACCCAGTGCTTGTATAAATAAATAAATCTTTAAAAAAAAAAAAAAAAGAAGTGTGTAGTATAGGAGTGTTAGAAGTGTGAGTGTACTCACACATGTAGGAGTGTGAGGTGTGTAAATTGCCCCCCCCTCCTATCCCAGGAAAAGTGATTACGCAGGCTAGTAAAGTTACAAATGTGTAGATTTTATGTTGTGATATTTCTAGTTTTAATGATCTACTTTCAGGAACTGTTTGCCTGAGGGCACAGGAGAGTAAGAACAAGGCATTCATGGCAGGGATGAGTATAAAAGCAGAAAAACAAGGAATGACTTGCTAGGGTCTGAATGTTTGTGTGCCCCTTAAATTCCTTTGTTGAAGTCCCATGTCCCAGAGAGAGAGTATTAGGAGGTGGGGCTTTGAGGAATGAACCCCTGTGAATGATATCAGTATCCATAGAAAAGGGATACAGCAGAGCTCCCTGGCCCTCCAGCCAAGCGAGAACGCAGCGAGGGGCCAGCCGTCTGCAGCCTGGAGACCGTCAGGAGGACAGGACCATGCTCACGCCTGTGGCTTAGACTTCCCAGACTCCAGGGACCACACAGACGCTGGCGGTCTGCTGCAGAGGCTGTACCATACAGTCTGGGTGTGTAGTAGGCTGCACCGTCTAGGTTTGTGTAACTACACTCTTACGATGTTCGCACGACAACAAAATCACCTAATGTGAGCAATAAATTTCTGTTGTTCATAAACTACCAAGGCAGCCCAGACAGATTCAGACACAGATTCGCTAACAGCTGAGTAGCTGAGCACTAACTTATCCGCACAACCACTATGCAACCTGCACCGTATGAGCAGATCTAGGGGAAAACAGGATTCCCCAAGACCCATGTTGGATGCCCACAAGTGAAACTGGGGAAGGGAACTCTCAGGAAAACACACACTCCGTAACCCTATCCAGGTAAAGGCGGATCGAAACAGGGCAAAGTCCAAAGCCTGCAGTCAAGTGTTCCATGTACAGTCATTCTGCCTAACAATGGGGACATGTTCTGAGAAACATGTCATTAGGTCATTTTGTTGTTGTGTGAACATCTTGAGTGTAGTTACACAAACCTAGACGGTGCAGCCTACTACACACCCAGACTGTATGGTACAGCCTCTTGGAGCGTCTATGCGGTCCCTCACTGACCAGAACATAGTTAAGTGGTATATGACTGTATGAATGCAAATGTGGGAGGCAGTAAGAGGGCCCACAATGTAAGTTTCTGATTTATCGAAGGGATTGCTGGGGGCAAGGAGGGAGAGAAAGAGAACTTTTCCACAATGGGATCATATGAGAATATATTCCAGTAAGAGAACAATAGTAAATTCAGTCACTCGTCATTCGGTCATCTGAACTTGCCACCTGTCACCTTTAAGCTATAAAAGTGGCCAAAGTGTTGAGAAATCAAGACACCAGGGACTATAAAGATGTAATTTGATCTGAGAGGCTGGGGAAGCCTCCCCAAGGAATCAACATGTTGGAGCTAAGATCTTAGAGTGGTGTTATCTGGGGAAGAGGCTGAAGCGTTGTGCAAAGTCCCAGAGGCTGGAGTTGGTGTGTTTGTGGTGTGTTTGTGGAACCGGAGGGGAGCAGTTTGTGGGTCTGGGGATAGTGGAGGCAGGTGAAAGTGGACGGGGGTCAAGCATCAGGCCCTCAGAACCTGTGAGTGGTGGGGAAAGGCTGGGATTTTATTCTGGAAGCAGTAGAACTATAGGAGGGATTCAGAAAGGACATCAACTGACTTAAATTTATAAGCAGCCTCACAGTAAGCTGAGCAGTTTCTTCCCAAAGTCCTATTCACCCAGACCTCCAAATGTAGCATCAGTTGGATTATAGAGTTTTTGCAGAGGTAATTATAGGCACAACTCAAAAATATTGCAGGTTTGGTTCCAGACCACCTCAGTAAAACTAATATGGCAGTCAAGTAAGTCACACTAATTTTTGGATTTCCCAGTGCATAAAAAGTTATGTTTATACTACACCGTAGTCTATTAAGTGTGCCATAGCATTATGTCTATAAACCAGTGTACATGCCTGAATTGTCACAGAGACATGAAGTGAGTGCAGCATACGCTGTTGAAAAATGGCACCCACAGACTTGATAAACGCAGGGCTGCCATAAACCTTCAATCTGTGAAAAAACATAGTTTTTGCACAATACAATGAAGCAAAGCACAGTAGAACAAGGCACGCCTGTCACTAAGATGCAGCCATACTGGAGTAGGGAGTCCAAGATTGGCATCATTTTAAGAAGGCCATGTGAAGGCACACAGAGAAGAAGGTCATATGGAGATAGAGGCAGCGATTGGGGTGATGCATCTGTAAGACTGTGAACCCTGAGGGTCACCAGCAGCCACCAGAAGCAGGGAGAGAAGCTGAGAACTAACTAGCCCTCCAATCCTCCTAAAGGAGCCTCCCCTGCCCACACCTTGATTTGGACTTCTAACCTCCAGAACTGGTAGAGAATAAATTTCTGTTATTCTAAGCTACTGAACTTGTGAGCTTTGTTATAGCAGCCCTGGTAAACTAATACGGAAACTGGCTACTGGAAGGAGAAGAATAATGTAGATTGGGACAGCAGTGACAGGAAGAACACCAGGGAGGTGACCAGGGTAGTGTCCAGGAGAGAGATGCCAGTGGCCTAGATGGGCAGAAGTGGGCAGATCTACACATAATGAGCCCCAGAAGTGTATCTACACACTCACCTCTGAGCCTCATGCACAGTGAGGACTCGGTTCAATGCCAGCCTATTCCCATGGAGGAGGGAACCCCTATTCACACCTACCCCATGGGGTCCATGGTGCCTTACCTGCCAGCATCTTGTGAGATGGTCACCGACACATCCAAGCCCAGCGTAGTGACCCTCTTGCAAACAGCATCCATGTCAATGATGGAGTCGATGCTCTCAGGCCCATCCTCCACACAGCACTGTGAGCCAGGGCAGAAGCGGCAGTTGTCCAGCCCCTTGTAGCCCTTGTTGTGCCCACACTTCTCCAGTGTGACTGTGGTTGCCATACCGGACACCCCCACATGTACCACCAGCTGCAGACAGACAGGCAGGGCTTAACAAGGTATGACCATGGGTCTGGGGATTCCCTCAGGCCAAAAAAGGGGCATCATGCTTCCTGGGCTGCTCTACCTGCAGTTTTGCTGTTTTTCTGACCTCCTGCTGCTGGAATACATCCTATAGTCACTCTTGCAGAAAGTATGTAAAGCTATGAAACAAGCAAAAATATTCATTGCGGGGCCTCCCTAGTGGCACAAGGGGTTAAGTCTTGGCACTATGAAGCTATCTGAAGCAGCCACTGCAGCACAAGTTCGAGTTAGATCCCCAGCTAGGGAGCTGACTCACATGGCTCACCAGACCTCTCCTGTCTCCCCTGCTGCTCCCCTCAGCAGTGTATTTCAGTAGATCTACCTGTTCTGCTCCCCACTCTGTCTCTGGTGAATCTTCTCACACCCCACACACCTCGGGCCTACACCCCAGCTCTTGTATGCATAAACAAACAAACAAACACATAAATAAATAAAATAAATCTTTTAAAAATATTCATTGCAGGGGCCTCTCCAGTGGTGCATCGGGTTGAGCACCGCACTATGAAGCTGTCTGTAGCCTCTGCAACGTGGGTTCAATTCCCAGCTGGCCAGGGAGAAACACACATGGTGCAGCAGACCTCTCCTGCCTCACCTGCTGCTCCCCTCAGCAGTGTATTCGGTCTGTCTGCCTGTTCTGTTCCCCACTCTGTCTCTGGTGAATCCTCTCAACCCCCACATCTCTGGCCTGTACCCCAGCTCTTGTATGCATAAATAAATAAATCTTAAAAAATAAAAGAAAATAAATTATTTGAGCTGTCCTGAGTTGCTGGCATGAGAATGAGTCGTGGGCCATTGCCCTAGAACCTAACTCCCCGAGTTACGAGCTGGCTGACCACTTTATTCACTACCGGATGCCTGATGCCTGCACTGTCTTATCATGGGTATTCAAAAACTCAATACCCATGAATGTGAAAACCGAACAGAAGCTGTAGAAGAATGGTCAGGTGGTGACCTCTCCCACCACCAAGAAAAGAAATGTCCCCGTCTGAACACCTGGAAACTGTGATTAAGACTTTATTGGGGGAAAGGGTCTTTGCAGATGTAATTTCAGCAAAGAACTGTGAGATAAGATGATTCTGGAATTATCCGGGTAGGCTGAGAATCCAATCACAAGCTAGAAGAGGCAGGAAGAATATTCCCCTAGAGCTTCCTGAGGAAGCTCAGCCTTGCCACACCCTGATTTTGGACTTCTGGGCTCCAGAACTGTGAAGAGATGAACTCTTGCTATTCTGAGATACCCAGTTGTTATGAGATACCCAGTTGTTATAACAGTCATTTGTTATGGCGGCCATGGAAAACCACTCCTCATCGCATGCTGCTTAAACAGTCAGAAGCGCGGTGGGCCTCCCCGGTGGCGCAGCGGTTGAGCGCTGGGTTGCGAAGCTGCCCGCGGCCTCTGCAACGCCGGTTCGATCCCCGGCTGCTCCCCGGCCACCAGAGGAGGGTCCCACATGGCGCGCAGACCTCTCCTGCCGCCCGCTGCTCCCCTCAGCAGTGTACTTCAGTCCTTCTGCCTGCTCTGCTCCCCGCTCTGGCTCTGGTGAATTCTCTCACCCTCCCACGCTTCTGACTGTACCCAGTGCATGTATAAAACAAAACAAACAAACAAATAAATAAATAAAACTTTAAAATAAATAAATAAATAAATAAAAAAAATAAAGAACCAGGGTACAGGCCAGATGCGTGGGAGGGTGAAAGGATTCACTGGAGACAGAACGGGGAACAGAACAGGCAGACTGAAGAAATACATTGCTGAGGGGAGCAGCAGGCGACACAGGAGAGGTCTGTCTCGCCATGTGGGATCCTCGCAGGCTGGTTGGGATCGAACCCGCACTGCAGAGGCTGCGAACAGCTTGACAGTGCGGTGCTCACCCATCTGCACCACCAGGGAGGCCCAGGGCATGTTCTGATTATCACTTATGCCCAAACATGCTGTCACTAATACAGAATTCCAGTGCGACAGAGCCAGGCTCTGTGAAGTCCCAGACATTTGCTTTCCTCCCTCACCTACAAAGGCAATCGGGAAAATGTGGCCCTTTGGGGGAAAAGGCCATGGCACAGGAGTAGGAAAAAAGTCACATGTGTGGGGCGCCCACCTGCACATCCCAACAAGGAAGCGTGTGCCTTTGCTCCACTAACCTGTGGGCTGTGCTTCTCCCACAGGGCGGGGATGAGCCTCTGGACAGTCTTGTACTCCACTGGAATCTCGTATACATGCAGGTCCACGCTGTCACCAAGCCCCAGCTTCTCCAGCTCCTGGAAGAGAGAAGAGAGGGGGTGTCATGGCTTTAGGTAGGGTGCAGGGATAACTGCTTTAAGAGGGGAAATTGACTTACCCCAGAAAGTGGGGGTTCCTGGCTCACTAAGCACAATGGAGGTGTGAGTGCTGCTCTGTTCCAAAGGCCTGTCCTCAGCCTCTTCACCTACTCGTGTGAACTGTGCATTTCTGGGCAGAGGCAGGACTTTGTGGCCACTAGAACTAGGCTCCTGGGAATGAACCCTGCCACTGTGACCTTGGACAGGCCACTTAACCTCTTTGAGCTTCATTTTCCCCATTTGTAAAAGAGGGATGCTACAGTCACGCATCGCTTAACGTTCCCATCAACAACAGACCACATAGGATGGAGCAGGACCGTCTAGCCCAGGAGAGCAGTGGGCTGTATCACCTAGTGTGTGATCACACGCTGACATTCACACAATGATGAAATCACCTACCAAGGCATTTCTCAGGTGTTCCCTTCCTTCATTGATGCCCGATTGTATTTCACAAGGTAGTTATAAGAATTCAATGAACTAATTCACACTTGAGCTCCAAGCAATGCCGGGCACATTATAAGTACTCAAATAACGCTGGCTACCAAACCACTCTTGCTTTTGTCATGTTACTACATTTGCCCCTTGGTTAGACCTGGTAAGAATTAGTTGTGGTGCATGGCAGGGTCTCACTATGAATTTACAGGTGGACCCAACTCTGTACAGAGCTTCTAACCACATAGGGTGGTGGGGGACAGGGTTTTAGAAGGTCATGAGTTATTTACAAAAACAGGCAGTTGACCATGGTGTGCATACTTCTCTGGGACAACACCAATGCTTTCCTGGGATTCTGAACATGGTCTGCCATGGATCGCCTGTTAGCTCCTCCCAGGGAGAGGCGCCAGCTGGCCTCTTTCCCCCAGCCAGCCCAAGGTACAGTGTAGTGAGTCTAGAATCATATTTGCTGGAAGAAAAATCATCCCACCAGCCCTGACACCCAGAGATGTTTGGTGAGGAAAGTTTCACCTCCATATGAAAAACTAAGCATTCTTCAGAGTAAAATGAATACTCCAAATAATTATTATTGACAGTCCTGTTTCTTATTCTCAGCAATCATGTGCAAGGTTGAAAAGTCCACTACTCTTGGGTATCATCGAATTCTATGGGTGAGTCCTAGGAGAAGCATTCTCATGTCTGGTCTTGCTTAATTCACCCTAGGTAAGTTCTTGCATCTCCTGCAGCAGCTTCGGGATTTCTTGATCCTTGGCCTGGACTTTGTTGTGCATGTTGTCCCAGTTCTGCACCGGTTCCACCAAAGCTGTTCTGGAGAGGCAGAGTCCTTTGTCAAAGATGGATAATTCCAAGTTGCTCCCCAAAGAGGGTACATCAAAGTTATGAACACAAGGACACCTGGGGGGTAGGCAGGAAAGATGTGGGGAGGAGAGGTAGTGTCTCAAACTCCAACATGGAAACTGGGACCCCATCCCTTTAGCCAAGTCAATGATGTGTGAGATTAGGTATGGCTCCTTGAGAAAGCTCATGGCCAACCTGCTCCCCAATAGTGGCACCCATATCAGCCACAGAACTTTTGGGCAGGTGGTTGGGGATGGGGAGTTGTATTGTTGTGTAATAACAATTTTAAAACATTTAAAACATACTCAAGAGAAAACTTGATCAAATATTTCACTTCTCAGGCCTCCCTGGTGGCGCAGCGGGTTGAGAATAGCGCTGTGAAGCTGTCCGCGGCCTCTGCAGCACAGGTTCGATTCCCGGCCAGCCAGGGAGATTCCCACATGGCGCAGCAGACCTCTCCTGTCTCGCCCGCTGCTCCCCTCAGCAGTGCTTTCCGTCCGTCTGCCTGTTCTGCTCCCCACTCTGTCTCTGGTGAATCCATTCACCCTCCCATGCCTCTGGCCTGTACCCCAGCTATTGTATAAATAAAAAATAAATCTTTAAAAAAACCCAACATTTCACTTCTCTCACAGTCTTTTTCCTTGGTCATTCATATTTATTTTCTTTGGGCTCACTTTTCATCAAAGCCTTAATTTCCTGGCTGTGTAAGGGGAAGAGAAGTGACATTCTTGGAAGGATTTGAGGATTTAGAGATGAGGCAGCGATTTTAAACCAAGCAAAGGCCTGGAATAGATACTCCTACAAAGAAGACATGCAAATGACCCATAAGCACATGAAACAATGCTCAACATGATTAGCCACCAGGGAAATACAAAGCAAAACCACAACGAGATCCCACTGCACACCCACCAGGATGGCTATTATCCAAACAACAGAAAATAATATGTGTTGGCAAGAATATGGAGAAACTGGAGCCACACACACGCTGTCAGTGGGAATGTAAACTGGTACAGTCACTGTGAAAAACAGTCTGGAAATTCCTCAAAAATTAAACACAAGCTCACCCTATGATCCAGCAATCCTATTATTAGGTATATACCCCAAAGAACTGAAAGTAGGATCTTGAATAGATACACATACACCTATGCTCATGCATCACTCAGCAATGACTTACAGCAGCCAAAAAGTGGAAGCAACCTATATATACACACCAACTAATGTAAGGATAAATATACGTGGGCCATCCAGACCAGGGAACAATCATCAGCCATAAAAAGGAAGGGAATTCTGACACAGGCTACAAAAAGGATGATCCTTGAGAACATTAGTCTCAAATAAGTCAGTCACCAAAGGACAAATACTGTGTGACTGCACTCATATAAGGTCTCTAGAGGAGTCAAATGCATAAAATTAGAAAGTAGGATGGTGGGTGCCAGGGGCTGGGGAGGGGTGGGAGTATTTAGTGAAGACGGAATGTCAGTTTGGGAAGATAAGAACATTCTTGAGATGGAGGGTAGTGATGGCTGCACATCAGTGTGAATGCATCACTGAACTGGCCACTAAAACATGGGAAAAATGGTAAATTTTATATTATATACACACATACACACATACATAGTCACAATAAAAATTACTTAGAAACTAAGAAAAACTTTTAAATTGTATTTATCTATTTATCTATATATTCATTTAGATAAATTATATTTATTTGTCTATAAGGAAAGAGTAAATGTCATAATATTAACATTTGGGGAATGAGGGTGTGAAAAGACTTCTTTGCTTGACTTCTTTGTTAACTGAATAGGGATAAAGATTCAAGGGCTGGGAGAAGTCTCCAGCAAAGACCTTATTTCAGTCCAAGGTAAATAATCGTATCCATCTTTAAATCCTTGCAACCACAACCCTACTTTTTCTTCCCCTCTGATCTCCTGCTACTTAAAATTTTACTGCCCCCGCTCCCATCTTTTTCCTGTGACTCTGGCAACTCTTGTTTGGTGACAGAAAATAAACTGAAAGGAAATAAATGTCTGTCTTTCAGACTGAGTGAGAAATTGGAAGGATCACCTTTAGTTGTTATACGGGGGGAGCTGTCCCCAAATTGAGCCTGCTATCCATAAGACTGGCTCCCCCACAAGCCCAGGCAAGTCACTTGGTAGTACCACCCCCACGGGAGGGGACTGAGGAGGCCACTAACTAGATTAGTAACCAGCTGGTCATGCCATGTATGTGGAGGCTAGATGCCCGGCTGGGGAGACCCCCATGGATTCTCCCTATCCCTATACCCCCAGGAATGGGCACTAGGTGCCAAGCAGCCTTGCCTACCCTGAACAACTCAATTGCAGTCCCGCTGGGTGGAGTGGAATGGCCACCTGCCCACATGGCTGTCTAGTGCCGGGAGATCTTAGAGCTGGCATCACCAGGAAGTCACAAGGTGAGCCACCTTCTTGATCTAACATTTACTCCTTGTCCCCACCTACCCCTTCCCTATCTGGGGAAAGAAAAATATAAACTAAGAAAACTACCATCAAAGATTCATACACACCCCAAGGCCAGAGGTATCCACGTGTTGTTCACCAAGGACCATCAGTGTCTCAGCTGCTTTCTTCTTAGGGGCAAACCTCAAAACTCCAAATGCCAAGGAAGAAGGGCTAAGTCATGAAAAGAACCAATTGCACCTCCCCACCTATACCAACATAGCAGCTGCCTCCAGGGCAGAATGGATAGGGGGTGGGGAGGCACACAGAATATTCTGAAGTGTTCTATACCTTGATGAAAGTGTAAGACATGGGCATTAATACCTGTCACTGAAGTGATGGGCTGCTGAAGCGCTGCATATTATTTTATGCAAAATTTTCTCCAATTTTAACAAGGAAAAGAGAGAAGCAGCTAGAAAATTCATCTCAAGTAATAAGTGAGGCCCATAATCAAGTACAATTCTTTGCCTCTGCTCCAACAAAGTAGGGGGTTCTCCTGGGGGGTGATAGCGCACCCCAGGTTCCATGATACTTTGCAATGAGTGCAGTCACTGAGCACACCTCCTAAAAGAATTGGGTTCGGGTGCCCCAGAGAGCACATTGTCTACACCCTGTCTACCTGACAAGACCCTGTCGTGTAGCTGCGTCTGACCGATTCCCTTGACCCCACAACAAAGACCCCCTTTGTTCCCTGGTAATATCCTTAGCAGGTCTGTCTAGACTCACTGTGGCAGTAATTGTCCCGTGATGTCACCAAAACCTGTGACCCAGCTCCTCCTTACCCTGCTTGAGCAGGAAATGCTCCAAATGCCCCAAGTCAAGGGGGTACTGGCCCTCACACCCACCTGAGCCCCCTAGGAAGGGACACCCACAGCAAGTGTCCCACATCCCCCACCTGAGACGTGGGGGAGACAGGACACGGAAATATAAAACACAGTCCCTCTTGGGAGTGGTGCTGGAGGGCAACACGATTGGGGGGCAAACAAAGGGGTATGTCCTTCCAACTCCACACTCCCACATCTCCTGCAAGGCTGCTGGGAAACTGTTCCCTCACTAGGACACAAATTTTCCCAGGAAACCAACAAGGAAGGTCAGAAGGGAGAAAGGGGGAGGGGAGCGAGAGAAAGAGAAAAAAAGAGACATGGAAACAGGGAAAAGACAGAGACAGAGAGAGAAACAGAGACAGAGACACAAAGGAGAGACAGACAAGAGAGAAAAAGAGAGAGGAAAGAAAGAGATGAAAGAGAGACAGTGACAGAGATGGAAAGAGAACAAGAGATGGAGACAGAGACAGCAACAAAGATATGGAGAGAAAGGGAGAGACAAAGAGGAAGTTCGCTTCTCTCAGAGAGCAGGCGGGTTCCTTCTACAGATGGCAACCTGGGCTTCTGAAAACTCAGCTGGGACAGGAAGTAACATTCACTTAATATTCAACTTCTTCAGTTTGGGGTGACAGCCGTCAGCTGCAGTGTGCAGGTTCTGGACAGTATCAAGCACATTCCACGGCAGATCCTCTTGAGGAACGGATTGCAATCATCCAACAGCCGCACTCTTTTAATGGGCAAGTCTGCTTGTTTTAATCTGTATCAAAGGCAGCTCGGAACCCCTATACAAGGCTGTCACAGATGCCGAAGTGCAGAGGGCACCTGACACATGCACCACAGCCTCCTGGGCATCTCCACCGATGCCACGTCTTAGAACAAGCAAGGCCACCAGGTGTGGCAGAGAAGTCTGCAGAGAGTTTACATCTCCAGCAAGGAGAAGCTGGGAAGTGACACAAGGGACTTCTGCGAGGAAGAAGTACGAAGAAGCATCCTGGAAAGTTCTAGAGCTCAATCCAGGTGCACACAGATCAAATTTCATGGACTTACAACACTTGCACTGGGGGAGGTACATGGGACCTCCTTTATCATTTTTAAGGTAAACTACCAGCTCTGGGAAGTTTGGCTTCTTTTTAGTGGGGGAAGGATGGAAAATCCTCTCTTCTTGTTTCAAAAACTTGAGGATAGAAGTGGAAAGTCTTCCAGAAACCAGGTCTGCAAAGATGGGTGACTGAAATATCAGGGGTCTTTCCCCTTGGGCAGCAGGCTGAAAAGCTGCCATCGTCCGCCATCCGTCCTCCGCCATCCGAGGGATTTCCAAAGATTGTTTAATTGATTTTTCTCCTATTTAGATGCAGATTATAGTGTCTGGGGCCCAGGAATTCAGACACATGGCTTTGTGTCCACTCAGTCCCGTGAAGGCTCCTGTCTGAAACCCGCACAAAGCCAGACACACACGTCTTCAGAAACACGCTGTTTCCTTTTTGTCTGGGGCTCCAGGGAGTGGACAAGCAGGGCCTCGGACACGCTCCCATCTGCAGGATCCCGGGAACTCTGTCCCTCTGTCCTGCTCACAAAGTGGGATGATTTTTTTTTTTAAAGGAAGAAAGTGGCCAAGATTTTGAGGTCTCAGAGTAGGGATGATTAAAAAGATGAGAGGCTTGAAGAAGAGGTTGACACATTGAGGTTTCAACTTGGATTTCTCTCCAAATTCAGAGCTCTGGGGTGGAAAGCTGGGGATGCTTTAAATCAAGCAGCTAATGGGCTAAGATTAACACGAGTTTGGCTCCGGTCTCTGCAGATCTGATTTATATAAGGAGAAAACGTCTCCCTCTTTTCTCTGTCCATTGTTCCCCAGTCTGTCCCTCCAAATACCCCATCTGACAAAGAAACTGGAAGGTTTTGCAGGCTGACAACCTGCTCAGAATAGTGGGAAAGAACCCCCCATATGCAGTCTTTCCCCACCCCTCAAGCT